AAAATGTACAGTATTTTCTGTACAGCATGTAGTATACTACTTCACTAATAAGTTTTAGGCCTTTAGAGTTGCATTCTTTTTTATAATAGATCTTCATATAATAAAATTGATCTGAAATGGGATATTTTTAATCTGAATATATCAGAAGGGACACACTTTAAAATTTTGTATTTTTAAAGTGTGTCCGTAGTATACAATAAAGATAATAGATATGATTATAGTTTTAACTTTGTACAATGTTAATTTTTTTTATTTTTTATTAAGAGAGTATTTTTTATAAATAATAAAGCAGTTTTGGTATTTTGGTAATTTCACAAGTTTTGTTTTAATAATCTAAACCGAATTTGCAACAATTTATAAAGTTGATCTTAGACAATGAAAGACAGTGGACGCGTAAACAGTTTTATGCATAATTTAATTATAAATAATATCATTTCAAATAAAAGGCCGCATATTTGTTTTTTAGGAACCAGTTTAACAGATATTAATTAAAATATAGATTTATAAGCAAATTTTAAGTTTTCATTAATAATGTAGTCAAAGGCTATTCCAGTCTCTTTCTTGTCACTATAACTTACTCTCTAAAAATGAATTAGTCAAAAATGACTAATTTAATAGTTATTAGTGGCTGCTTTTTTACTTGTACCATGGTTAACCATGGAATACCATGGTATCCCAAAATTTAACAGCCAACTCTTATGTAAAGTTGTCTCCTGAATCAGAAAATGCCGTCAAAAGTTGAAAAAGCAGAACAGTTTTTAAGATATAGTCAATTTTCCATTTAATATGGAATTGACTATATTTCAAAAACTGCCTTACTTTCATAATTTTTGACGGTATTTTCGGATTCAGGGGACAATTTCATATAAGAATACCTAAACAATAAAAAATTGAATTGTTCTCAAAACTATTATGATAAATTAAATTTTTATATTCACCAATAAAATAATGTTTTAATTATAAAATTTAAGTTATGATCAAAATCGACATGCTTTAAATGTCGAGACACACCCTGTATATTGGTAAATTCTGCCTCGTTTATAAAATAAGTTGTACAAATTTGACCTTTATTTCCCACTCAGTTTCTCAAAGCTACAAGATACACCATTTGTTATATGCTAAGTAATATTCAGTGTCATTCTAAATACACATACCTACAAGATTTTTAACGATGCCCCTTTTTTAGTGATTTTTTCTGCACTCTTCTAATGTAAAATGTTTTTAAAATTATTTTTATTGTGCAACAACTTTTTAAAATTGAAATTAATTTTTACTTTTAAAGAATATTACATTTGAAATATGTTATATTGTATTGATGCCAAACATAACAAATTAGTGTATACTTCCTGGCCCTGATACTTTTATAAGCCATTTTCCGGCCTCAAAACAAAACTGAAATAAGTACTAAAAGTACTCAAGTACCGACGGATTTGCCAATAAGTAAACCTTTGACTGTAAAACGTTGTTCAGCAACGACTGTTTAAAAAAATGCATACTAGGAGCGACACCGTCCATGTCACCTAATTAAATATAGGTATAACAGCGAAACACAACAAAGCACACAGACTATAGAAATTCGTGAGTCATACGAGAAAAGAATGTTGCATTAGTACCTGCGTTTTTAAGTTTATTGGGAAAGTCAAGTAGTTGTAGTTCTAGTGATTTGCTTACTGGCAAAATGTTATGTCACAAATTAGCTATATTTTTGTTCGAGTCAATTATATATATGTTAATTATAAATAAGTGATTTGTTTAGTGAGTTAGTTAATATGATATTGTTTTAATAAAACTATGGGTGATTTTTTCAATATGTTATAAAGAAGGTAATTTTATATTGATATTTATTTGGCTGTTGTTTTTATGATTTATATAAGTAAACGCACAGTGAAAGTAAATAAATGTGTACAGTTTATGTATTGGATAAGAATTAACAAGTTGGTAACAATTACAGTTTTTGTAGATGAATAAGTATCAGTTGCATTTTAAATTATAAACCTAAACTTGCAGCGCATTCGCCAAATTTCGAAAATGGCGAATGCGCCGGGATATACAAGGTGTCCCTAAACTTATTGGCATTAATTTAGGAAAATATTGTCAAAATAAGACGAAAACCTAAATATATTTTTCCTAATTACTTATGTTTCCAAGATACAGGGTGATAAAGTGTTACTTATCATATCAGTTTTTTTAATATAACTTCTACTATTGTAGTCTTGGAAAGGTGATATTTTGCGAACAGTCACTTACTACTAAAACACATATTCACACATAATTACAATTGTTTGAATGAACACAGTGTCATAGAAACGGGGGTTGCTTTAAGCTTATTGTCCCATACAAATTTTGAGGTTAGGTTTTTGTAACATTTGATGCAAATTTTCGATTACACAGTTCGGATACCATTAAAAAAGTGTACCTCTCAAACTTAGATAAAATAAACCGTTTCCGAGATATTCGAGATTACAATTATTTAAAAGGATTAAAAGGTATATGATAACAAATTTTATTTTTCAATTGAAAAAACTAAAAAGGGCATTCCATGACCCTCGGGACTTTTTGTCCTGACCGTCACATTAAAAAAAAATTGTGGTTTTTTTCAATTAAAAAATTTGTTATCATATGTAATATTGTAATCTCGAATATCTCGGAAACGGTTTATTTTATCAAAGTTTGAGAGGTACACCTTTTTAATAGTAGCCGAACTGAGTAATCGAAAAATTGCATCAAATGGTATAAAAAACTAACCTCAAAGTTTGTATGGGACAATAAGCTTAAGCAACCCCTGTTTCTACGACACTGTGTTCACTCGAACAATTGTAATTATGTGTAAATATGTGTTTTGATAGTAAGTGACTGTTCGCAAAATATCACCTTTCCAAGTCTACCACAGTAGATGTTATATTAAAAAAACTGATATGATAAGTAACACTTTATCACCCTTTATCTTTTAAACATACGTAATTAGAAAAAATATTTATTTAGATTTTCTTTATATTTTAACTTGCTTAATCTGCTCCTAAATTTATGCCACTAAGTTTAGGGACACCTTGTATATATAAAATTTTGAATATTTTTTAAAATGGTAAAAATATCAACAAACCGTGGGATTAAAATATTTTGGAATAATTCCAATAATTTTTATAAAAAATTCCTCCGAAAAAACACCTTGATTTGAATATGTTTATTTTTTATTTTGTCTAAATCTTACTACCTATTCTAAATCTTACTACCATTTGATGCAATTTTTCGATATTATATTATGTATATAAATTTTGAATATCTTTTGAAAGGGTAAAATATCAAAAACCGTGAAATTAAAATACGTTAACCAAAATAAAATTTATAATGTTTGGAATTATATAAAAGTTGTTCCAAAAAAACACCTTGTATTTAATAGTTATATTTTTATTTTGTTTTATGCGTAAAAGTTACTACAATATACAGGGTGTCCCAGGAGTCGCGCACGACCTTAAACTTGGATGATCTAGGGAATCGTAAAATTGTTAAAAAATTCTACCTTTATTATTTAAAAGATTAGGTACATAATGTTCAAACAATGGTTTCTTTAGGAATTAATGTTTTATCTTATGAAAAAATGCATTTTAGGATTTGTACTTTAACAATACGCATGCGTTTGGCAACATGATGTGCAACAATTGATTATCAAAACAATTGGTTAATTGATTGACAACATAGACAATAATTAACAGTCAAAATTAGATTTCTGTTAATTATTGATATTCATTCCTGCGATTGTGATATGTATGTTATGTTTGGAGAATGCTTAGAAAATGCAAGTCATTTAGTCTGTGCTTATGTCAATGTAATGTTAATATTTGTTTAGTTTTTTTTTTAGATCTAACTCTCTGTATTTGCTTTTCTCATGCCTGACATAAAATAAATAGCCACTAAGTAAAAGTAACGAATTTGGCACTTTTTAATATTGTTTTTTGTTGTTATAAAGATTAAGAATTAAACTACCACTTTATTAGTATACAATGCCATTTAAGTTTTTGTTTTAAATAACGAAGGTAGATTTTTTAAAACAATTTTCTGGGATTCCTTGAGGGTGTATGCTTTAAGGTGGTGCGCGACTTCTGGGACACCCTGTATATTTATAAAATACCTATATATATATACCTGTGGGTAAATCAAAGTATTTTCTCTGCTCCTGATTCAATTCAATTTTTTCTGAATCAAGATTATTAACACACAAAACTTTTATAAAGATGCATTGAATAGTTTACAAAATATTGTAATTTTTAATCTTTAAGATTAAACCAGCATAAAATCGCCACTACTGATCCAATAAAATTACAATTTGTACAGCATCAGGAATTTTAATAAATTAAGCTTGCTTTTTAGTCATAGGCTGAAGTTAGCTTTACTATAAATTGGGAAAAAGTGAGGTCAAATTCGTGTTTACAGTTGACAGATGTCAAATTTTTAACAAATAAAGTTGGGTTTAAATTCTGTTTTGTTTTATAGTATAGTATGCAACTCGTTTATATACTTTTCTAGAACTCGTTTTTATTAAACCCTCGCTCGCAAGCTTCGCTCGTAACTAAAATGGCATATATAAAACTTGATATATAATATGGGTACTATTAAATGATCATAACCATTATTATTAACAAATTACCTATATTATATTTTTAAAGCGTAAAAAAATTGTGTTCAATAAATAATTACTTGCTCAGAGATTGTTAAAAATTAACAGTGCATTTTTAAATTTTATTTAATGTGTAATTATCAGTATTTAACTTTTAAGGATTCTTGTACTTGGACACTAGATCAAGTACTTTGCCCTTTTAGAAATAAAAATTATTCTTAAATTAAATAAATAATTATTTTATAACTTAAATTAAAATTCCAAAAATACAAAGTGGTCCATGTGATGTCCAGCATGCGTAACAGTTCAGATCTAGACGCCTATTATTATTAATATTACGTGTCGATGACGTCATGATTGTTGGTATAACGATTCGTTTTTGTTTCAGCAATGGAAAAAGACAGTTAGGTTCCAGTGCGTTGGCAAGGTATGAATACAAAATATTTTACACATTTTATAAAATAATAAAATTGATAAAACTTTACTTCTACGGTTTTACTAATCTTAGTTTTTTGAATTTTAAATAATAATTTTTGTTTTGCATAGGTATTAAATTTTATTATTAAATTGTGCATACCTATAGCAAAACTGACATTGAAAATACAATGCGTAGCTTCAACGTGGACAAGTCTGTGGTATTTAAACTGCAAGGTTTGAGCTCAATTAAACTTTTATGTTGATAAAAGAACTTCAAAAAATTTTAAAAATTAATAATGAAAATTATTTTTAGTGAACTGTACCGCAGCTCCAGCTTCAACTCTTCAGGGAGAAGCAGCAATTGTGACACTGCCGATGATATGTACTCAGATGCTTCATTAGAAGAAGATGTTCATGATCTTCACCACAAGGTAGTTTTTATAAATAATTTCATTCATAATTTTATCATAAATAAGATCATTCTGAATAAAATAACTCATATTTCTTTATTTAACATAATATGTTAAATAAAAAAATATGAGTTATGTTATTATCAGTATATTATACTGATTAAAATAAATAGATTTATTAACTTAAATCAATATAATATATATTTTTAACTGTGAAAGGTTATGTTGCCCATAAAATATTATTTTACCTGTGAAAGGCTCTTTATTCTCGTCATTATAACCTATATAACTTCTACAACCCAAAGCATAACAAACCACCATTGTATTTAAACTAAAACACATAAAACAAGTTGTCGCTTTAAGATTATGTTAGGTTCAGATTTTTAACACTTTTAAAGTGTAATACTTCAATAAACAACAGTAGGCGTTACGCGTCCACTTTAATATGTCTCTATTTTATGCAAAAATTAACCAAATTCTATTATACATTACATTACGTTACACAAAATTAATAAATTGTATGCATTTCTTAAAGCACCTGTTATTGATCACAATTTTTCTTTTCTTCACAAAAGATATATCTATAGTTCGTATATTTTAATTATAGAAATAAAATTGGAATCAATTATAAGTTAATTGCTTAATGATTATAAATTAAAAACCTATTTAGAAAGTACTTGTTCTCTTAGGTTATCAAATTAACAACAAAATCATTAAGTTAACAATCAATTTGCTTGATTGAAGCCTTCTGGATAACAATGATGATGCTACACACAGTGAATAGGAGCAATTTAATCGCATTACCCAGTTTATTGTAAAACAATTGTATTCTGTGGTGAGAACTCTGAGCATAGAAATTACAAAAATTACGTGGTATTACGTAAATAATTATAAAAATAAACATAATACTAAATTAGTTTCGAAAGATAAACTTTGGAATGTAGATTTAATGTTGTCTCTATAAAAATAAATAAAACCATACGTTTGGAAGACTTATTTAGCTCTGGCAGGCATCCATCAGATCTACATATATTGTATATTTATAATTAAAGAACGTCCGTGGTATTCATGGGCCAAAACCTCTTAAAAACATAATTGTTTATGTAAAATTTTGAATAAAACTCTGGAGATATAGAGATTGTAAATGGACACTAGAGTCGTTGTATAATTTTTGAGATATTTTGTGTTGAAACAAAATATACACTGATATACATGTTATATCATCAGCCGATAAATTTCGGAAAAATAAAGGTAGTTTTTAAAATTATACCAAATTTCATATAATAAAATATGTTTTTTCTTCTTTGAGATAAAAAAATAGGTTTTTTAAATAATTTTTCATATATCAATAAAAACACGGAAACCTTTCAAATATATCACTTTTTATGTTCCCTATTAAATAGTTATTATTTTATTTATATTAATTCTGTTTTTACTGAAAATTTAATTTATTTTGATTCCGCATGTTACACGATATGATCAAAATAATTTTAACGTGTAAACTCTAACCCAGCGCCAAGTTTCTGATAATGACTGTCATCTATAGAATGTATACGATGGGATAAAACACTTTTGTAATCGTAAAATATTATAATGTAATTTTTCAGGATTTAATTTATTACATAGGTATTGTTAATTTAAACACAGCATCACAAAATAAATAGTTTGTTCTTAAACATGATTCTTCTAGATAATTATTCTAGCACACGAACATCACTGTGTACAGAACCGTACCTTTTGATTTTAGATAATTTCAAGGTTTTCCACATCTTATTTAGAATTTTTTGTTTTGTTTTGTTTTGTTTTAAAACTAAGCAACAATTAAAGTGTTATCTTATAAGCATACATTGATGTCAAATGTATTTTATGTCAATTTAAAAAAAAAATAATTTCAAAATTTTATTTAGTCAACACCCATTTCATTTCTTAAATTTAACCGAAATTTAACCTCTCCCTGTAGTAGGCAAAATAGCATTTAGCCCACGGGCTGAAGTTAGCTTTAAGTTTTACCTAATTGAGAAAAAGAGGTTAAAACTGCTTGACAGCTGTCAAATAGAATATCAAATAAAATTGGATTTACATTCCTATTTTTCTTCTTTTTAAACTTTTTTGACAAATACTTTTTAATATTAAGCATTTAATGCTTACCTAACGTATAAAAACAACTTAAATAAGGCAACAAATTATTCCGACAAGTAGTTTTTAAGTTAATAAGCAATTAATTAGGTTTAAAAATATATGCTGTGTATTGTCTAATCCGATTTTAAAAATATGTAAAAAGTATTGTATGGAAACAAAATATACAACGCATCTACAGCTACTTGAAGTTAACATGGTTGACAGATGTATAATGTAAACCATCATAATTTCGTTATTATAAACAAATTTTATGCACGATGACATTATAATATGACAATTATAACAAAAATTCTTTGACGTAAACGTCTTTTTATAGCCCGCGGGCGTTATTATGATGCAGCGGGCTATAATGAAACGTCAAAAATTAAAAACAATAGGCTCAAAACTATGAGCTTATTTTATTTTAAATTTATATTAACAATACAGTTATTACAATTAGTCATGTTTATGTTGGATGGTACAATTTGATTTTGGGTACTATTTGAAACCATATAATATTTTTGCACGATGACATTATAATATGACAATTATAACAAAAATTCTTTGACGTAAACGTCTTTAAAAACAATAATATATTAAAAATAATAATATATTAATCGTGCATAAAGTTTTGTATGCATTGCTGGCATAACTGGTTTTTATGGTCCTACGACGCTCGAACCATAAAAACCTTATTATGCCCTTAATACATAAATAACTATTAATTTTTTGTTTTTATATTTTAATAAATGTTTTTTAAAATTAAAATAAAGAAAAAAATCATAACTCGAAAACTAGTATGAATAAAATAGCCTCTCTTACATCGTGGTATGGTGTTGGTGCTTCATTTTTCGAATACCCTGTATAAAAAATTAGTAAAAGTCAAAATTTTAAAATACTTTTTTATACTTAAAATAACCTACCTCGTGATATGAATTTAGTGCGCCATTTTTGGGACACACTGTATATTAACAAATAACTTTAAAGCAACAAACAAAACAAAAATTTGAATTTAATTTTTTTTTAATCGCATTTTTTATATGCACAACATTTTTTGGACAAACGTTTTGAAGCCGGCTCTGATCATGCATTAAATTGTAAATTCTGTTCACTTTAAAACGTTTGCCACTTTAATTAGGATTTTGCCCCACAGTGTGACGTCGTTAAACATTGCACACTCGCCTTACTCACAATCAGTCTTTTAATTTTAAATATTATCGTAGGATGTTTACGCGTTCCGTCCGCCCTAAAAATGTTTTCATTCGGTACGATTAAAGTGAGCAGTTCGCGTGAAAAGTTCTTCCATTGAGTAAAGTGTGTTCTTTACTCAATGGTTCTTCAAAAACGGTGCCATATCGAGTGACGATGTTTTTAAAAAATACTTACCCAGTGTTTATTTTTAAACGCTTATGATAGCGTTAAATTCGTGAGTGTACCCAATTGTCTAGTCACCAGCACTATCTTATTTTTTACGTAAAAAAATACCAAAGCACTTGACTCAGCACTTAAAGTCTTTAAGGAAAGTCTGGAGGAAATAAAAGTCGTTGAAATTCTTTAACACGAATTGGGCGGCCAACTTCTGCATATTCTTTTATTTATGACGTGATAAACTCAAGTAGTCTCTAGACCGTGCAACGCAATGTGGTTGATACGGAAAACTATTTGACTTTAAAATTTAATTAATAATTGGCATGTTAAGTTTATTTTGTTTCTAAACTTATTTAGATTAAATTATTAGAATCGTTTTAATGTTTTATAATTTCGTGTAGTTAATTCATTAGCCACTGGGTATTTATTTTTAGTTTTCCTTTTGGGTGGAGTCGGTTTTTCTATAACCTTGTTAAAACTATAATATTATTTACTTTTATTTTACACATCACAGAAAAACCGGGTTTTTCTGTTTCACATAAAAGGTACCTACATAGTTTACATTGACATTTTTAGAATTAACCGTAAAACAATGTTTTTAAAAATGTGCGTTAGTGCCATAGATAATCTATGATTAGTGCTTAATTATTGAAGAAAATTGTAAAATAATGTAAGACTTTTCTTTAAAAATGAACGGAAACGATGAAAATGGTTTTTCGATGCCAGAAATGGAATTCGACATGTGGGAGGGGCAGTTCGATTTTTTTGGGCCGAAATTTTTTAACAAAACTTCCGCGTTAAAAACCAATGGAGTGAAGGAAATTAACGATCTTCAATGGTGTGACGGTAATGAAAATGTACGTTTTTATAGAAGAAAGTTGTTGTTTTTACTTATTTTTTACATAATATGTAAATACGACTTAAACGTTATTGTTGTCAACACTCGTTAATAAAGTGATTGATTATAATTATAGTCAATCTTAGCCGAATGGCATACAACCTTTTATCTTTAAGGCACAATTTTATTTACCAACAAAAAACGTACAATTATACCTAATAATAATTAATATATGTGGAAAGTTATAACTTATAAGTTAGGTAGATCTGATAGTTATCGAATTTTTTTATTTGTTCAAACGGGTTTCTACAGCCTAGGAGGTAAAAAACTTTACCCGATTGGTCTAAATTATTTTTACAGCCCAGGCAAAAAAGTTTAAATTATAGACCGCTCGAAGAAAAAAATAATTTGGACCAATAAAAAAATTCGACTCCTATAATATCCAGCTCCCAGCAAACAGAGCTGTAACCAACTCGTGTTATTCACGTCGCATTTTGGTTGTTATTTAACGAGTTTTAAACGGAATATTGACGTAAAATAAACGTTTTGAAAAAACGAATGTTTTAACAAAAATGAAATTTCTATATTTGTTAAAAATATTACATAAACATAAAAAAAACTTCCCATACAGTTATTTTTTCAATCGAAATCAAGAAGGTACTTACCACAGGAATTCTGAGAAGTTTTAAAAATTCGTTTGATACACGTAATATTTAGACGAAATATGTACCCAAGTGCCCAGCAAACAGAAAATGACGAACGATGTTTAAGACGTAAAAATAAACGTCAAATTGACGTATATTTCTCGCCATTATCTAGTGGGCCCCACTACTTACTTTTAGCGAAAGCTTTTAATAAAATTTAGCATTTAATGTTAAACAGCACTATTTTTGAGAAAATATTCAACAACCAAAACACGGCAATTTTGTACCTTAAAGACCTCTAAAATGGACGTAAAGGCGTATTAAAGATGTCTTTAAGAATCGTCTAAACCACGTTAAGGGAGACTTTTTAATTACGTCCGCAAAATACGTCATAAAAATGTGACATTCCAACGTTTATAACTCGATCGTATTATATAAGTTTATAACTCGATCGTATTATATACGTAAAAAAAACCGTCTTTTGGTTGAAATATTACCAAAATGTCACATGTTTTTCACGCTTTTCTGTTTGCTGGGCTGATCTCTCTTTCTACTTTTAAAAATTAGTGTCGACAAAACAAAAAATTTTTTCGCACAGAAAAAAAAATACAAATTCATAGTTATTCCCCCTAAAAATCCTGTTTTAACATTTTTAGCCAAAATTGCTGTAACATGTAGGTACAATTTTTTCGGATTTTAATAAAATTTACAAAATTTTTAAGTTTTACCTATCTACATTATTGTGTTAACTCAATAAAATAAAAATTAGCAAAATTGGACTCAAAACAACCGAGCGTGTAATAATTTATTTTTACGGTAATTTTCGCTCCTAGGACTTGCATTTTCGGTTGGTAAATAAAAATTGATAATTTTTCATTATCACAGTTGAATCTAATTTAAACGTGTACCCAAAACATAATTTGTTATTTTTGGACACTAATCATTTTGTTTTTATTATTTTCAGTTCCAAGTTCTTCAACAACAAGTAGGTGTTTTAACAGATTCCGCTCACCAAAATGATGAAAGGTATACAAGAGTTAAATCCGAAAATGCCTCGCTACAAGCAAGAATTATTATGCTTGAAGAACAACTTCGAGATACTGAGCTGAGATATGAAGAAAAATTACAAGTAAGTTATACCATCAAATGAATGAATTTTTAAAATAAGAAAAAAGTCCATAAAATGCAAAATTAATAATTAATTCAGAGAAAAAAACTGTTTTTCAGCAATCAGTATGAATAAAAAAAACAAAATAAAATGTAATCTACTTTTAGGATGAACAAAGAAGATCCAAAGAGTTACTTAGCAGGTTGGACAGAGAAAAACAACTGCAACTGGAAAACGCCAGCATTCGGCTACAGTCAGCTGAAGTTGAGTCTGGAAATTTCAAGGAAGAAGTGGTGAGACAGCGTACCAGAATGGATAAATTGGAGACGGAACGAAGAGAACTCACCGACCAGATACAAGATCTCACCAACGAAATTATCACTGCTAAGGAACAAGTTACTAGTTTTAGAGAAAAGGAGAGAAGGTAACTAAAATGTTTAATGTTTTTTAATAAATTATAAACAAAAGAAATTAAGAATTTTGCAATACAGTAAAGTAAAGTAGGTATGTTAAAATGGTTCTCAAAAGTGGTATAATATACAATTAATATTATTAATATTAATTACTTTATTCTATGAAATCATTTCCTTGAAATTAATATTATAGAAGCTATGCATGATCAGTTGAATATTATATTGCAAAAATCAAAACCATTTTAAGACCATTCAACTATACAGGGTGTCACCTAATAAATTGTCATCCTTTGGGGGGGATGATAGTACACGCCAAAACAAGAAAGTTTGTGCATTAAAACTACTGTTTTTCAATAAAAAAATAAGATTTTTTTTTACAAAACCAGGGAGCCACTGGATGTCAATGACCTATCCTATATATCATCACTCTTTACCTCTAAAAACAATGATATTATTCATCCAAGCAAAAAACAAACAGGTATGCGCACAGTGTATTACGATTTTTTTGTAAAATATTTTTTAGTTTAATGAAAAAGTTATATAGTTCTAAATACTTCTGTATAATAGATTATTTCACCTGAGGTTATTAAATAAGCTATTAATTGGTGTAAATAACTTGGATCGCAACTGAGTCGGTGCCATAGTGTTTTGTTACTCAAGGTCGGTACAATGTAATCTTAAAAAAATCTTCGCGCTTCACACTGATTTACGTTAAGAAATGTACCCTACTTTATGAAAAGTGTATAGTACATATTTTGATCTAAAAAAAAATTAACTAAAAAAATTATGTGTTTTCATAATCTTTACACAAAATTTAGCTTTGTAATTTAGATCATTAAATTAATTTCATTAATTTCGTTCGTTTGGTGAGAAAAATTAAAGATTTTTGTAAAATATTGTTTTATATTATGAAAAAGTTTGTTTAATATAATTTGATGATAAAATTAAGTTATCGATTGGTATAAATATCTTGCAAGCAAGAAAATGTACATTGTATTTGAAATTGAAAGATGATTTTAAGTATTTAAAAACAATTCTTTACGTATACTTACATAATTAAGGTAAACATGTATGTATAGTAAGCTAGTGCAGAGGTGTATATGATGACGCCACGTTTGAATATGGTTTTCTAAATCTCCCTACGGTATAGAGTTGTATTCGTCAGTCGAGCGTTTCAATACTCTCCACAGTATAGAGGTCGTAATTTCACTTTTGAACTAGTATTAATATAAAAATTATTTTATGCTTAAAAAAAACTATATACGACATGATTGTGATTTTTTTCATTTTATTAATTAATTAAGCTGTGTTGAATATTTTTCCTAAAGGAACAATTGCCAATGGGCCATTAATTCATTTGTTCGTAGATGGTACAATAACCTGCACTGGTGTGTACTTTTTCAACAACCAGATTTAAATATTACAAAACTAACATATACCAGTGGAGATAGTGCAGGGTCTACCAACAGACCTAATTACTAAATTATTAAAGTTTAATAGCATATCGATCATTTTTTCAACATAACCTCTGAAATTTTTAATACAAATGTAGGTACTTTATATACTTAATACATAAATATACTTAACATCATATCATCTGTGCTTTACATACCTGAGTTGTTACGGTAAATAAAAATCAGACAAAGGAACCAAAGAAAGGAACTATTTTAAACAAAATCATATGCAGAAAGGAGAAAATTCAAACTACTTGCATCCATCAAAAGATCAAAACTTCTTGCAATATTACACCCTCTTTTTATACTCTCAGAAATATTGACTAGAACAGTATTAGAGAGACTCCAGTTTCTATAACTTGGTAGAGTAAAGAGAAGTCGAAACCGTTGCGATATTGCATTGCGCTGTTTTTGTATAATTCTCGGGGACATTAACGAAAATCATTGCCAGTAAAATTCGAAAAGCTTGAGTTTCTATGTCTCTGAGGAGAATAGGAATCCGAAGTTGCTGCACCATTGGACTGAACCCTTTTTTAATAATTTCTAGAGACATAAATGACTGCACCATTCGACAGGGTCGAGTTTCTACCTCTCTGTTGAATATAGAAAATCAAAATAATGTATCTTGTAAGACACCATTGAGTTTGACTTTAAATATAGTCGTGCATAGGTATAGAGCCGAAAAATATAAAAACAAAGCGTGCTTTGTTTTTATATTTTTCGGCTCTATATTCAATATTCAATACAGTTATGATAAAACTTTAAGATTTGATATTCAAACGCGGAGTCATCCTATACACTTCTATAATTTTCCGTTTGCTGTGCAGTAGATAGATAATTCTTAGAAGTATTGGATTTTGGTGTTAATTTTTCGCGACAGGTTTCGAAACATGAGATCTTCATGTAAAAAATTAAACCCCTATGAATTATTTGAAAAAAAACAAATATCTACAATTAAATAAAGTACCTAATGATTTTTACATTTAATATAATTAATTGCTTTTTAGACTGAACCAAGAACGTGAGGCTCAAGTCCACCTCTTGGAAGACCTATCGAAAGAGGTGGAGCGCCTGCGATCGGAAAAGAGAACACCTGCATTACCGACAACGTCACCAGAGGCTCTGCGCCTCGAGGAGTTGCACGAAGAGATGAACACGTTGCGTGCGGAAAATTCGCATTTACAGGAGGCGAACGAGGAGCTGCAAGCGAGCCTTTTGCACGCCGGGCTTGAACAGGGCAGGATACTTACCGCGGGCGAGAACAATCTTGCCGCGGAGATGAACGCAATGTCAAAGGATGAGGTAAGCAAATTAAAAAAAAATATGTAAACGTTGTAGAAGTTTTTGAGGCAGTTAAATAAGGGAGAATACATTAAACACTTTTTAAGGGTTTTACTTTTTTTAACTATTGGCATTTTAAAAAAAAATAATTTAAACATTTAGGTTTCACCACAATCCACACAACGCCTGTTCTATCTCGTTTCGTACATACTAAAAATCATTAAAATGAGGCCCCAGTGCCAAGGACAAAAATTTTACTCCTCTTTTGTAAAAAATAAACCTTATTCTATTATTAATTTACCATAACCACAGACCACCAAAACAAATGGACGGATTTGTTTACGTTTAAAAAGCGAGTAAAGCATAGTTTCACATTCTAAACACCGTCGAAAGAAACACGGCTTCCAACGTTGTCAGAAGTATAGATTACACTCCTTTTTGGACGTTCATCATAACATAATGAACATTAATAATTACCAGAAATTCGTTTAAATAATAAAAAAATTGTAAAAAGGATTTGTTCATCATTTTCTTGAGATATTTTTCTCTATTTAAAGAAAGTAAATCATTTAATAATTATTAAAATTAAATATTAACAACGTTGGTATAAATTCGTCATATTTGACAGCATAGAAAAAGGTTATGTTCTGTGGGTTGACAGCTTGTTGTTTTGTGTTTTCGATTGTGTATTTCTATCGTGTTTAAGTTAATTATGGAGTTTAAATAGAGATGGGAAAATTCCCATTTGACGAAAATTCCCGGAAACTTTCCATCGAAAATTCCCGAAATTTTTCGAAAGTTTCAGAAAAATTTTTTTTATTGCGAAAATATTTTTTTTTATGCCAGGGATTTGCAAAAATATATAACACATTAACTTTTTGTCAAATTTTATTAAGAAAAAAAATGTTTATAAGAATGTAACTGCAATACTATTTTTAGTATCTTTTACTTTGGAATATTCCTATTGTATACTGAAACCTAAATACCTAAATAAAATGTTTACTATTAGAAATTCACTGCTAGTAAATCCTAGATATTACGTAAAAAAATTAAAATGGACAAAGTAACTAATATATAGGAATATTGAAGAGTAAAAGATACTAAAAATAGTATTGCAGTTCTGACTGATAAAATTTTTGTTTTTTGCACTATTTTGTAATAATTCGAAACACTAGATTTTTCTCTTGGCATTGTGCTATGCCTATAAATAAACAACAAAAATGTAAGAATGATTTTAACTTTGTTTATTGTTTTTATTTTGTTTACCTTTTTTTAAAAAAGTTTTTTGTGATGATGCTGAATAATCCGGCTTCATTGAGGTTATGTAACATTATGTTACCAATATCTCAGTTATTAGACATGGGACCCACACCAAATTTATAATAGTTTATATTGACATTAAATAAACAAGTTCGGCGCAAACAGAATTTAAATTGAAGTTTGCGAAAAAAAGTTAGTTTTTCCTGTCGCCTACCCTGCCTCCAGGCCCCCCAATTTGAGATAATTCAAATTAAAGTGGTGCAATTTATTATCTACTATAATTTATCGACAAATTTAAAATTTTATTCAAAAAATCCAAATATTACAGATTTTATTCGATTTTAAATTTTTATTATTTATTTTATTATAATAAAAAAATATTTAAAATGGTATAAAAACTGTAATATTTGGATTTTTTAAATAAAATTTTAAATTTGTCGATAAATTATAGTAGATAATAAATTGCACCACTTTAATTTGAATTATCTCAAATAGGGAGGCCTGGAGGCAGGGTAGGCGACAGGAAAAACTAACTTTTTTTCGCAAACTTCAATTTAAATTCTGTTTGCGCCGAACTTGTTTATTTAATGTCAATATAAACTATTATAAATTTGGTGTGGGTCCCATGTCTAATAAGTGAGATATTGGTATACTTAAAATCCACCAGCCGCCACTACATAACTTACACACAGGGCTGGATGCTCCCGTGTACGAGTTTTGGTTCGTCCCGCGCATGACGTCACTTGATGAGTAGTTGCCGTGCGAATACACGAATAATAGTAATATTATCAAAGAAAATAGAGAAATTTCTGGACATAGTGCGTTTTTATTAAACTTAATATTGAAGAAAGTGTTATAATATGGATAATAAATGCTTTCAGTCCTTGATAACATTTATGGCTGTAGTTTAAGCGTTGGGGTTTTAAATTAAACTTATAGTCACTGTCCAGAAAATGTTTATAGGAAATAGAAGCGGTCTTAACGTAAATATTGTCTATTATTTTTGTGGCATTTAAACACTGTTTCCACAAATCAAACTTTTTCGGGAATCGATTAAATTTAAAGTTTTTATTTAAAGGGTTTTTCTTGGACTTGTTGTCCGAATTGCATCCAAATATGCCACACCGCATTTTAATAAATGCAAATGGCACTATACAATCTAAAACACAAACAAAACAAGTTAACGCAACACAAAAACAATAATAAACAAACCTAACAGGTTAACCTAACGCAATAACAATAATTTGAACGCTGAAAAGTAATTTGAACCTTACCGAACACAAAAACGACAAGTTAAACAAAAAGTAGAGCAAGTTAACATCCAAAAGCATCGCAAAAACAAGAATTTTAGCAGTAGATAATTAAAAAGCACGTTAAAGATTTAAAAACACTCATCAAGTGACGTCATTAAGCCCCGCCCAACATGCGCACCATCCTATCTTAAGGTGTATGTATCTTGACTTACACAGAACATAAGATAACTTACATTATTTATACTTCTTCTTCTGCTTTAAATTAACACACATTAAATTCTTATTCAAAGTTTCTTGGCCTTGTATCATGGCCTTAACGAAAATCAGCGGTTAAACAATTGACATTTAAATGAAAAAAACAAGGAAAGTTTCCAAGGAATGTTTCCAAGGAATGTTTCCGGTAGCTTAAAAGAAACTTTCAAAATGGAAATAAATTCCCAATTGGAAACTTTCCAAAACGGAAAGTTTCCTTAAAATGGAAACTTTCCGATTCCCATCTCTAAGTTTAAATACATTATTTTTTACTAAAAATAACAATACATGGAAATATCGTTTGTAAGTACCTACCTACTTATTTTGTTAATCCCAATCCGTCACTGGAAGAAAACATAAAATTCTATCGCCAATTTAACGCTTAGACTGTGACCGTTTGATGACGTCACTGGAAGAAAACATAAAATTCTATCTCCAATTTGACGCTTAGACTGTGACCGTTTGTTGACCGCAAACAAATCATTGTTATTGAATGGCAATGCGCCGTCCATTTGTTTTGGTGGTATGTGACCATAACCCACAAATTAACCTTAAAATTGACATTTGACAGTTTGATGACAGCCCTAAGGGTTATTTTTTTACAAAAGAGGGAGTAAACTGGTTTTTCTTAGCACTTTAATGCCTCATTTAAGACTTACAAGTGACTCTGTAGGAAACTAACGTTTTAACGATTTTTAATCTGTATAAACAGCTTAAACCCAAAGCACAAGAATTGTAAACAACATAAAAATGTCCGCCGTTCGAGTCTGCGCAGTGTTGCAGTGATTTTTGTATGCGCGAAACGAGATAGAACAGACCACAATCGTAATGTGTGGATTGTTATCACAGATTATACAGATTATTGTTATGGAACTAATTCAAATAAGGCATGTTATTTATGGTTAACAGTTTGTGTCAAAAAATTAAAAACATTTTATTTTCATTCACAAATTGTGTAACAAAAACTAAAAAAAAAAAACACTTAAAAGTGCCTCATGTAATCTCCTATAAGTAATTTCGTTCTTGTTTGTGTGGATTTTGCAATTTTTGAGTTTTGAGTAAAATTTAATGTTGTGGGATCTCACTTAGTCCATTGTTTAGATGTAAATATTATTAATGTGGGATTTTTTGGAAGGCCAAAAATATTAATTATTATAAATTATATTATAATTATTATGACGTAATTTAGATTGAGTTTAGCACATATTCACATAAACTGTTTTATTTTTTCATTTTTTATTTTATAAAGATATAACCATACATATTGTTTTACATATCATTGTTTGTCCAAGTGGGTTGTTTTCCGTTTTGGGTTATCTAAAATTATCTTCAATATTACATATATCATACATGTATTAAAAGCCAATAATTTTATAATAATTATTAAAATTTTCATTTTAATTTAATTTAATTTTACTAATAAATTTATTCAAACTAAATAATCATTTATTCGTTATATCCTTATATTTATAAACAAATTCACTTTAAAGTGGATATTACGCAATACGGATAATTTATGTATCGCCCATGCACAAGAAAAGTTATACATTTCCTGGTTTATAGAAGGAAAAAGTGAATATAAAATAACATTCTGGTACTTTGAATCTATTATAATATTATTACCGTAAAGACGGGTGGCTTTAGCTCACTTTCAAACTTAATCTTAACAATTTTGTAGTTTTAACAATCATAAACATTAAATATTGTATACCAAAATTTGAGTCTTGAGTTGCTCTTTCATAATAACTAGGTATGTTATAATCTATCATAGGGCTGAGTTTCAAAAATAAAAATTAAAAACTAGGTGTGCAAAGTTACCCCCTGGTTGCGGGTTACTTTGTCTCACAGTGTATTTTCCGTATAAAATTAACTCAATATTTTATTTTATTTTTATTAGACATATGTTAGCCATTGCAAGTGATTACCGATAAAAACAATGAAAAATCGACCTGTAGTTATCCAAGGATCATCATTCCAAAGAATTGCCCATAATATAGAAATTAAAACGCGTGTATTTTTAAGAGTTTTGCACTGATGCAATATATACAATTTTAAAGTGTAATAAACCCCATTTATTTTTTTAAAACACTGATTTTCCTGTAATATAAACTCAATAGAATCGCTCAATTGACAGGTTTAGACCAACAAATTATAAATGTTAATTTTATCGAGCGCGAAAAGATTTTTCATAAAAGGGCTAAAGTCACCCGCGGGGTGCAAAGTCACCCGTGTTTACGGTACTTAATTAAAGGAAATTTTAAAATCGCCATAGTAAAAACTAGGGTTTTGAGTTGTGTCACTTTTCTTATACATGAGCGATACATTTATGCACGCTTAATTCCAACCTTTAACATTAACGAGAAATTAAAAATTATTTTAATTAATGCCTAACAAGTTTTACGAACAATAACAGTGCTTTTCTATTGCATAAAAAGACATAGATGGCTTATTTGTTTCTTTTTTATTTTAGAGTTTACCACAAGACCAAGAGTCTATAGCTAAGGTACGCAATGCACATCATATATAAAGATTGGTTTTTGTTTTTGGGGACTTATGCATGCTTTTTGTGCTAACATTTTTATTGGTTTTCTAATCTAAAACTGCATGTTTTTGTACACAATTTTAATCTTGATAAATTTAGAGAAATCTTAATGATTTATTAATAATTTTGTTTTATGTTCTTGGAACTAGAAGCCCTAAGTTGTATTTTCTAGTTTTAAGTTACATATGGGATGTGGAATCGCCCAAACGACCAAAAACTGTATCGAGAAGGTACATACATATAATATGTGTGTTTCCCAAGATGCCTGAATTTGTAGTAGGTAGTGCACAACGAAATTTTCAGTTTAAATCGGTGATATCTTTTTTCTAAGAATTAATAGAAAATCGATTTTCTCGTTCCACATCTCATATGTTGAGATTTCTTATATGGTAGATATACCCTGCAGGGTGCCCCAAGAGTCGCGCACAACCATGAAAGTTACAGATCCCCAGAAATCCCAGAAAATTGTAAAAAAATTCTATCTAGGTAAATTATTATTTAAAAACATTTGAGAGGCTCTGTCTCATTAAGAACGTAAACATTTAGTTTTTAAACTTAAACTTGTTTATTAGGGTGGTCGTTAAAAATTTTTTGCGACGCCCCCTAAAAAGCTTCGTTTTGATGAAAAAACACTAGGAAGTTTTTTTTTAATTAAAAACAACGTGCCTCAAGACGATCTAAGTTAATTATAAGTATAATCATGTCTTTTCTGAAAATATGGAATAATAATTTTTTTGAGATTTAAAAGTTATTTAACAATGAAATAACTTTACCTTGGAGTGAAGTAATCTAGATATTAAAATTACTTTTGTACTAATTTAGTTTTAAAATAAAAATATCTTTCATTTTTTTTATTTAATAGACTGGGAAAAATTTTGAATTTTAATATTTGTCTATTGTTATTTCGATTAACTATTGTTGTTTTATTGATTTGGGTTCTATAATTGTTTATATTTCGAATAAAATTTTATTTTTTATTAAGAATTCCCCAAAAACCATGATTATTTAATTTTTAACGACCACACAGTGTTTCAATTCTCGAAATTTTCGGCAAAATATCAAGGAGTAGTCGGATTCTCCTAAAAATCCGTATATAGAAGTTTTTAGGGTCGCTGATAACGAATCTGGAATCAGAATTCCAAAATTCAAAATGGTAGATCCAAAATGGCGGACATATTTGTCAAAAAATTGACGGAATAAATTGAAAATCACCACACAGGGTTTTTGGGGTCGCTGATAACGAATCTGGAATCAGAATTCCAAAATTCAAATTGGTAGATCCAAAATGGCGGACATATTTGTAAAAAAATTGACGGAATTAATTGAAAATCACCATACAGGGGTTTTTGTGGTCGCTGATAATGAATCTGAAATCAGAATTCCATTAGTAGAGCATGGGAAACCATCAGAAGATAGCAACAGTTTTATTGCTTCGCTCTTTTTCGGAGCAAATTTTCAGAAGCTAGAAATATACGGATCGGAAGATGCCATAAGCCAATGGAAAACATCTTCCATCGTTTTCTCCCGAGAAACTTTTAAAATTTATTTATAAGATTTTATACTAAGTATTTTAAATTTGTATTATGTCTTTTACTTAATATTTTAGCAACGATTTCTTAATTCGCTAAAAAATTGTCAACACAAATAACCACAATTCAAATTTGACATTAACACACTACAATGCGCATGCGGAGTTGTTTTAATGCACCTACAAGAGGTGGGTTAAATATGTAAAATCGGTGTTAAATATCTTAGTAGTCACGTACGATTTACGCAAGTGAAACTCTAGACACCGTAATAAACGTTTTGAGTTAAATCCGAGTGAATCGAGTAAACGTCATGAACGCAACCCAGAAATAAAAAAAATCTTATATTTTGTAAAGCAAAAACACAGCTACGCGCTCGACATAGGCTTAAAATCGCGAGGTTTTTTACCACAACCGTGCGTGAGCGCCCAAGAACATGTAGTTTTAAAGAGCCAGGGGCAAGTTGGGGCAGCTAATTTATTGATGGCTTGATAGACAAAACTCTAAGCTATTCAACGGATCTTGAACTGATGCCTTACAATTCATTACAATTTTTGTAGCTCCATTGTTCTAAAAGCTCGATTCAAAGTTTGCGATTTTAACAGACCGATCTTGTCGGTTACAATAACCCGTTGTACAAGCAAAATTTACGAAAAACAAACACATATCTGAATTTTAGATACCTTGAAGATCACCCTTCATCAAACCGCATAACAATCGGACACACCAAACACAAGTTATTCACTTTTAAACAATAAACAATTTTTCGCAGCGATCGCGTGTAAAGTACCTTCAACTGAAAGCGTCAAGTTTAAACTGATGTACAAGACAAAATATACGTATTTTATATAATTTTTTTTTCAATACAGAATGGGGACAGGTATTAACTACCCATCTAACTCAAAATTTTTCCTGAAAAAAAAGTCAATTTTGAGGTTTTGCCGATATTTTCCAGAATTGAAACACTGTGGACCACCCTATTGTTTTATTATTTCAAGTCTTATTATATAGGTAATCTAGATTAGATCTAGCTAGATTAGGTCTCATGTACAGAATGTTTAAATTTACAATGGCTTGTGAGCATTGACATATTTGGAGCAAAATTTCCCAAAAATAATAAGCTAAAGCACAGGAATGTGTTTTTCTACTCCTATTACGGAATTTGACCGTTCTAATATCACTTTTATCTATGGAATGACACATATTCCGTAAAGTGTTACAGAATGAAATATTCTATCATCCGATAACAGAATAAACACTCGTGGCCAAATCTATGTTTTTAATATCTAACAAATTTTAGACCGATCCAACCTCACTTTCTTCCAATTAAATTATTTTTCTATGTTTTTTTTGGAAAAGTAGAAAAAGTATAGTCTGAAACACTTTGGAATTGCATATTCGGCTCTTGTGAAACCGTCAAACTCGCCTTCGGCTCGTATGACAAACTCTTCACTCAAGCGGAATATGCTGTATTCCAAACTTGTTACAGAATATACTATTATCTGCCATAAAGCAAAACTTTGACAGGTAACTATCAAGATATTTTTTTTAAAGATTGTCAAAGGAAAACTGTAAACCTTGCACCCCTGTAATTTGATAACCAGAGGTAATGAAGCAAAATCCTTAACATAATTAATAGTTAACAACTAGTACTATAATTTAGTAAAATTTGAAAAAGATTGGAAAAGTGAACATTTTTTCGGTGGTAGAATTTTGCCCCGTTTGCGTTTTGGCACGACGCGTCGTTCCGAATCGTGGCGATATTAACGGATAAAAAACATTAGACAATGTTGCGATTTAAAAGTATATTTATGTATCTTTTTAAACAATAAAAGTGCATTTTTTAACAATTTTGTGGGATTTCTGGGGGTCTGTAAACCATACATTCAGGTGTTGCGCTACTTTTGGGTCACCCTCTGGTACTAAATATTGGAATGTGAATTTTATAAATTTTTAACAGATCCAACAAGCACTCAAGGAGCAACAAGAGGACAATGTAAGATTGAGAAGCTACATAGATGGGATTTTACTAAACATTGTAGAAAATCACCCGCAATTGCTTGAAGTTAAACAAAGATCTGTTTAATCTCTTAAACAATTAACTTTAAGGTGTAAATATGTTTGTATATAAAACTAGGCAAATTAAATCGAATTCTATATACACATGGAGTATAAAAATACTTTGTTGCTTTTTTTGTAAGATTATAGTCCGTCCATTTTGTGATTAGACACTGTGATTAGTGATTAAGGACTAATAATTTTAAAGCTGTTTTTGTAAATTAAAGATTTTATAAACTGAGAAATATTTTTATTAGCTTTTTAATTAAAATATTTGAGACTGTCTCAAATAGCCAAACGAATCATATTAAATATGTTAAATGTTTTGTTTGTATTTTATTAAAATTTTATGCAATATTTAATTAAGATTGTATTGTAATTTTATTAAATTTAATTATGTATATAATTGTATTAAACTAAAAATTGTAGTGAACCGGCCTAATTTCTGTTAAGTAATATGCTTAAGTTCATTGTTGTATAATAAAATTATTGTTAACCATTACCCTCAGAAAAATATATATTTAATAATAAATTAATTAATCTGAGTCTTATTTACTGGTTGTAAGGGTTATTTAAAATAAAAGTTTACCAACTAATAAAATATTCTTATATTAAAACAAAAATAAACTTAAAATTCTTAAAAAATACTAATACATTTGGCAGCCTGTGTAGGCGCCATTGCTTATGCAATAATTGATAACGGATCGCCAAACAATATTTTTGCTTAACACATTTGGATTTCCTATTATGATCAACAAACATTTTGCTCTTGAAATTGTAACGTTTATTCTTCTAGGACAAGATATAAAATTTAAGTCGTCAGCCTTTTCTGAAGATGAACGCACAGTGGACACCAAAACAACGTTGAACTCCTGCCCTTGAAACTCTTCTACTGTACCGATTTTGGGACAATCAAATTCCGCTTCAGTTAATATTAGTCTTACTTCCCTCGACTAAAAACATTTATTTTAAGAATAACTCCCCCTATCGCGTCGACTAGAAAAAGTTCTCCTAAACATTTAACTTACCTGTTTCACGTATGGCGTTATAACGCCTATGTCTTTGCTTTCCAACCCCATTCTGTAAAGTTCGTTGATGTAGTAAAATACCTGCGCCGCTTCGTGCGGATTGTACCAGGAAGGCGAATCGTTAGATCGGCATTGTTCTCCGTCGACGCCATGGAAAACTATACAGGGGGGTTCAGAATTACTTCCTAACGGTAAAATGTCTTTTAATTTCGCTAGTGTTTTCGCTTCTTTACTGTCTTCACTGGATACCTAGAAAAACCGTTATCATTACATTGCTCAAAAAAATATAATTTATTACTAACTGTTACTAATAGATCGTTATTGTAAAATAGAGAACTAGTCAAATTTAGCAAAGGTTCCAAAGATCTGTAATTGTATCTAAGTTTTGTGACCAATCTCGGATCATACCCAGAGGTTTCAGGGAAACTTTCAAAGTCTGGAACGTAAGGAAATCGGTTTAATAGTCTTTCCAAAAACGATTCTCCTAAACCATTATCAGAAGCAAATGGATTTGATATTACGGGACCCAATTGAACAGGATCTCCTAAAAGATAAACATACTTTTTAAAATTAACAAATTATATTCACTTGGGCATAAGTAATTAAAAAGGAGTTTTTTTATAGAGAAAACCCTCTTCCTAGCAGTTAAGCTTACCTGCTAGAATAACTTGTCCATTATATTTGTCCAAAAAGGTAACGGGAATTAAAACTTCTGGTTCGGAAGCTTGTCCCGACTCATCAACAACAATATGTGAAAAATGACCCCTCTTAAAGCCCATTTGAAATAATCTTCCTGCCGATCCGCATGTGGAAACTGTTATTCTATGCCTACCAATCGCTGAACTACTGCAACCTATAAAGCAATATTTTAAAACATTTAATTCAATTTTAAACTTTTTGACTGTAGGGTTTTAAAGTGTCGAAAAAAAAACGGGAAACATGTTTTTTCCGTTTCTTCCCAGGCCTTTTTGGGAAAAATTTAATTTTTTTTGTTGGAAAATATACACATGTGTCTTAAAAAAATTAACAACTTATTAAATAAAAATATATTTATTCTACTCCCACCTTTAAAACGCCCTTTATCGTACATGTTTCCATGACACTAAGTGACCTTTTAAAGACACATTGACAAGTTGTGGCTTTATGGCGCTTTAGTTAGGGCTGAAGTTAGCAACAGGTTTTTAGTCAAGGGCTGAAGTTAGTTTTAAGTTAGTTGACAGTTGTCAAATGTCATACAATCGTTAAAATAAAGTGCCTTTCTTGTAAAATAATACTAAATGTGAAAATTATTTTATTATCTCAATACAAAAGTATTAAATAGTTTCTCAACGCCAATATTTGAAAAGTTTATATAAACATTGTACCGACCTTTAATTTTCGCCGGCAGTAAACTATAACTTAAATTCGGGCACGGACTCCACTGTAAAGTGCTCATAAAACATTTTCTTTACTTTCACTGTGAAAAACTGTCAATTTTCAAGAAATACATTTCGATTTATAACCTTTATAATCTATGTTTATAAAATAAAAAAATTTGACATTTGACAGTGACACACAGATTCCCCTATTGTTTCATAGATGGCGCTCTATACAAATTTTTGATTTAAATCATTTAAAGATAATAATAAGTATTTGTCGTAGAAAAAGTATAGTAAGCACCTCGTTTATAAACTTTTCTCTAAACTCTATAATTTAAGCACTCGCTCGCAAGCTCGCTCGTGTCTAAATTAAATTCGTGTATAAAATGGCGTTTATCAAACTTGACACATGATATACTATTTTCTAATCCATATTATTTGTAATTCAAACAATTAAGTAATAACATTAAAATTTTAAGTTTATTTAGCGCGTTAAGACCTTAAAAAAGCGACGGCTCTCTTCAAGGCGCCGTGCATCGCTGTTATTAAATTTTTCAATGCTATTTACAAAATGATTTTCTGCAGACAGCATACATAAAGCAAGTCTTTCTTCCTTCATTGTATTTCTAAGAAATGTTTTAACTCGTTTCAGCATTGAAAACCAGCGCTCTGCTTCAGATGGGAAAATACTTAAAAGTTTAAGAGTTTCTTGAAATGTGCAAATTAAACCTTCATTTAATAAAATTGATAGCGGAACAGCTGCTGAGGTACAACTTAATTCATCTCTCCGATAAAGTACTTGTAATTCATTATCAAGCCTATTTCAATGAGAATGATTCAGGGAATTTATGCTTATAATCAGAAAACTTCTCTGACATAAATAAATTAGAAGCGACTAAATGTCCAGGGAAGTTAAACCTTGTTTTTATTTGCAATACTACTGCATCGCATATTTCTAAGGCAATCAGAATCAGTGCATACTTTGTGTAATTGGGTAAAAATAATGTCTAAGTGAGGCATTATTTTATGAAAAATACTTAACCAAAATATAAAGTTTGTACCCTGTAGCTTTAATTTGTAGCCACTTGCTTGAATAATGGACGACTAATCTCGTGAAGTACTTTCTATAATCTTCACAACTGTAATGAGGTCTTTTCAATTTTCATAAACAGTATGAACACCCCTTGATTGAAAATTCCAACGTGTTTGGGAAGATATTGGCAACCTGTGATTAACTATCTCATCCAAAATGTTGGTCCTTTGAGGAGACGTGTAAAAGAAAGAGCATAATCCAGTTAAATTGGAAAAAAATATTCTAGTCTGCCTATTGACAGAACATGCACTTGTCATAACTAAATTCATGTGATGTGCATGGCAATGAATGTAATTTGCAAGATGATATGTTTCTTTAATAATTTTTTTCACTCCATTGAATTCACCACTCATGACAGATGCGCCATCATAGCTCTAAGAAATTAATTTATTTAATAATGGGTTTAAAGCATTCAGCGATTGATTTGGCGTCGTGTCCGTCGAGAAAAACCACCAAAATCTCTCAACTGGTCGTCCTTTACACAAACATCTGAAAACTATATCTAATTGAAATTCACAAGCGAAGTCCGTTGTTTCATCGGCAATTAATGCAACAAAAGGAGAATTTTCCATTTTTTTAACTTCCTCGTGATAAACATCTAACATGCATTAAAAGCTTTGTAAACCTTCAAGTCATTGTCTAATTTGGCGCTAAAATTCACCAGCTCCTTAAATATGCCTCTATTTTCCGAATTTTCTATTTTATCGTGCCTTTAAAACTAACTCAAAAGCTCCACAAAACTTTATACAATTTATAATTTGGTTTAAAACGTATTCTTATCCTCTTCTTCATTATGTTTAATCAGAGCATCACGATAAGCCGAATTTAACTGGGTTTTTATATTTAATTTACCAAGCATGGAAAAGCTAAAAATATTATTCATGTGCACTTTAGATTTTTCATAGGGTTAAGTCTTATTAGGTCTTATTAACTCTTCCAGAAGACTACTAAATCTTGCCATTAGTCTGACTTACCAAGGCTTATTTTTTAGAGGGAGCGAGACTTTCAAACCTCTTATTTTTACTTTTTAAAACTTTTTCAGAGAACAATTTCTAGAAGGGAACCTCTCTAAATAAAAACCGTATTTTAGTGGTACCCTGTAAAAACTGTCCATGACGTACGTCATATCTTTTAGGGGAATTTCCCCCATGTCACAGTCTTGACACCTCCCTCCTAAATGAGTGACGTACTTTATTGACGACGCCTTAGAAGGATTTTCTGACCAATGTGCATAGGAACTTTTTTCATATTTTTGCCCTGAATTTTCTCCACGTACTGAAGAAACACTATACTAGAATATTTTCACATTTGCACAAATATTACATTTTATGTGTGTATGTATGTATCTAAGGATTTTTAATAAATATTTCGTTTTTTTATAATTTTGAAATGTTAATATTAGGGTTTTAAAATTTCCGGAAAAATTGAGCTGGCGGAAAAAAACCGTTTTTTTTTTTCGAAAAAAAAATGGAAAAATTGGGAAATTTTCAGAAAAATTGACTTTTTAATTTCTTGAATTTTATTCAAAGGGTAATACCATAAAATAAGAAAAAATGCAAATGTCAATTTCCAAATTTTTACGGATAGTATCCGTACACTGATATCGAGAAAAAAGTGAATTTCCGACGCTGATTATAATCATATAATATTATGATTATAAAAATTATTCCTTTTTTTTAATTCAGTAAGAATACTCTACCGGGCCGCAAAAAACCTATTCGGTGCTGTTTTAACATATCTTTTATTTAACACTTCGATTTATAAAATTATAATTTTGTAATTTAACTTTATAAATCATTCATTATTTTATAGTAAGATATTTTTAATGGACTCCTTTTTGCAACAAAAAAACCAACAGACAGTATATTTCACGTTTACGTTTATTTTCTTTTTAATTTAATGTTTAGTTATTTTTGTAATAAAGGATTTTTTTATTTAAAATAATGTTAACTTGTTGATTGCCACTTTTTTTCAAACGTGTATATTTGAAAAAAAAATTCAATTTTTCCCAAAAAAGCCAATTTTTCCAAGGCCTGGGAAAAAAACGAAAAAAAAAACAGTTTTTTCCCCAATTTTTCCGGGTTTTTTTTTCGACACTTTAACCCAGATACGGCCGAAACTATTATTTTTTGAAAATATTATTTTTTTGTCTTAAGTTAGTTTATGGATACATTTCTGAAGAAGTTTTACTAAAAATTTTTTTTAGATTTCTCAACAGTTTTTGTAGTAGTCACCGTCCTTTATAAAGGACAGTGGCATAATACAAGGACTTAATGTGAAATAATTGGTAACGTTTTATAGATATATAAATTTTATTTTATTTTAGGAACCATATAAATAAACTAATTTGTATGATATTCCAAAAAACAGTTCGAACCATGTTTTCCAAAATATGGGATCATTGATTAGTCGATGCTATGATTTTCTTGTAAGTAATGGGGCATGTTCTATGAATTTTGCATTTAGATGTATCAAAAAGGGTCTGATTTTTGAAAACTTGTCATTCATTACCAAGTCACTGTTGTCATTACAATGCAAATTTTGCATGATGTAGTTGAAACGGTTTCTTGAAAAGGCTTCTGTTATAATCACATGATTGGCATCGGAAGAGCTCTCCCAATACAAGGATCGTCTTGAAACACTGGTGTAACCACTATAAATAAGCACCCCAAAAAAACATTTAATTTCGTCCACAGTTATATCAGCCTGTCTGTTGTGTTGGATCGCATATAGGTTGGTATAGTCTGTAATCATTTGCCATAAATATTTGTCAAAAAAAAGATAAAAGATCTCTAAAAGTGTTCGTTGATTTTTCGCCCCAAGCTCTTTTTGCCAGTCTGGTAGTTTACGCACAATATCTTCTTGAACCCAATCATTCTTTTTTTGTTTTTTTTTTTGTATTTACAAAACTGTGCTACCGGAACATTATCATCACTATCACTATCTGACGGTAAAATGTTGATTTGGCAGTCGGTTCTAAACGTAACCTCAGCTTGAGAATTCAAAACGGATCCCGGTAAATTATCCATGACGACATTTTCATCATCACCAGAGTCTTCATCAGTGACATAGTCATTGGCGTTGATTGGCGGAAAAAGTACAACTGCGTCTGGAAATCTATTTTCATCATCAATATTTTTCCCATAACTGAAAAACAGTACATTATACCACTGACCTTTTAAAAGGACACACACTTTTATAAGCTTATTTCAAAACCCACGACCAGCATAACCTTTTTTTTATATTTATATCCTAAAGTTAGGCTTTCACTAATAAGTTTTTACTTGGCTAGTCAATTAAATTTTATGAAATAATGATTGATATCTTACCTTAGATTACTCATAGCCTCACAAAATAAAATACTGGAAATGTAAACACCACTAATTCTGAACGAAAACAAAT